AACACCATATGTACATTTTTGCAATTATTTTGATTGTTCCCATTGCTAAAGCGTCTTCCTCGTGACCCTGAAATCAACTGTTAGTAGATAAAAACATATTTCGGTCATATTTCATCGAAAACCGTGACAAATTTTACAGACATGGGAGGTCTTTATCAGAGATTCACACATCTGTATGTATGTGATAAAGCCCTATTCTACAGAAAAAAGGAGAAAGTTTTGAAGAAAAAGGGATTACATGAAAATAGATCTGATTGCCTTGAAAACTAAACAAGCCGAGCATATCAGATTATAAATGTAATACAGTGGCAAACACACTTGTAAAATATTTATTCAGCAAAAACTTTCATCGTTTAAAAGCATTTAATTTAACACAAAAAAAACCCCACGAAAACCTTTTGATAAAGTTCATAACCCTTCTAATTATGATGGTTTGTTTACCAGGCAACATCTGCCTTCCACCGGAACCTATTTTGTTCTTAATGGAGTCCTGCTTGGTTTTACTCATTAAAGCTGGACTTTCAGAGGTTCCTCGCATGAAGCGTCTGACTTTATACATCAATATATCGGTGACTTTATCAACCCGAGAACATGAAATGAGATATGGATCACCCAGAGTCAATAAGATTTTAATATTTGTGAGCTTTTTTATCCGTCGAAAAACACCATTAACCTCGATCTGAAGTGTTGACGTTTGGTGTAATTTGTTAACCCCTCTCCTCTGTCAAAGCCATCCCTCTCTCTCTCTCTCTCTCTCTCTCTCGACTCTTTTAAATTACTATGCAAGTTTTAGTATATGTAGAATTTCCACCTGTGTTTATGCTTTCTTCTGCAAATCTAGTTTTGAAGGATTCAAGTGGAGATCCCCACCGTCCGAAACTAAAAACACTCTATGTGATCTTCACTGATTTTCTGCTGTTGAATGATAAAACGTAAATACAAACAGGGACACCCTTGTGGCAAAAACCGTGACTTAATTAAGTCTACCTGGATGTTATATTCAGTAATGGTTTTTCAGTAACCTTTCAGGGTGCAAAACAACAACTAATGGACATGGAAATTCCAAATTGTTATAATTATAAGCGTCGAATAATGGTACATGCTTGATGAAGAATGTCGGTTAATGTTTGTTAGAGTTCAGATGCGGTGTGTGTTCCTGGAAAACAATGTAGAAAATTAGATATCAAATCAGAGATAATGGATAATGAAAGTAAACACAGTTCGTAATGAAATTAATGTTTGAAATAGGATAAGTTCACGATAAAGTATTAGAGGGATAAAAGAAGGACGGTTAGATTATATAATTATGATATCAACAACCGTCAACGTTGTGATTTCGCTGATAAAGTAAATCACTTATGTAACTAGTTAATATCCCTTTCATACAAACGATTGTCAAATAAACAATAACATTTAGAGAACGCAATCATCCACCCAAAACGAACTTACACCACCCCCTCCCCTCTCCTCGGCACACGACGCAAAGTTTTCATTTTACCGATTTCAGCATTAAGTCTTTTAGAAGATTTCCCCCCATTTACACAGAGTTCATCTTTGGAAAGTCCCCCCAAAATTTACGGACCACTTTCTGTATAATGCTGCAGAGTAAACCGCAGCAAAAATTAACCTAATGAATGTCGATTTCTAAATCACTAAAGCCTTTCATGTTCTGTTGAACAGGTGTTTATCTCTGAAATTCTTAGAAACACCTCCTAATCAACACTTATGCAAGTCATTTTTTTTTATCTCGTTAAAACGATATATTTATCGAGTAGATAATTTGGCAATTGTTTCGCAATCCCCAAATTCGTTTTCTTTAATCGATTAAGCATTTTGCATTTTATGTAAAAGTTATCCAACGGGACAGGTTAATTGGACGACATGTATTTGTCTTGCAGATTAACAGCTTTCTCTGATTAGAATACTTTGTCCGTCTATCTCTATCTCTTGCACACAGACATCTCTTTCACTGTCCATTACGTTTTTGTTGAAAAGTCGAGCAAAACCCACACATTTTTCTGATTAAACAATTCATAGAAACAATGTGCAATACTCACAATATGACTAATGCAATTGTGGTATTTTTGGTCAAAGGATGGATGTATCAAAACTATTAAAAACAAAGAAACTAGAAGCATAGGGAATAGGGAAATCTTGCCCTTTTTGGACGGTGTTTTCTATGTGTGTAATGCTTTCCTTTAATTTCTTCCACTCCAAGTGCTATTCAAGAAGCACGTTGATAAACAAATATTACGTGTGTACATTTCTGTGTCAATTTGAAGTTCATGTACCTGATAATGTTTAAACCTCGTCGTCCCAGACCTTATGCACGTCTTGATTGACAATCACCCGCGAAAACTCTCCGATTCCGTTCGTGACGTACGCCTCGAGTTCTCTCTCTCCTCCCACCGTGCACTGCTTCAGCACATTCTTATACATATGGACACATATATTTTAACAACTCATTTTAGTTCTGAACGTTGCTCGGTTAATACTGTAACATCTTTTAATCATGGGGAAACTTAAAATGATTGCCGACCCAAAACTTTATTTTATTGAAACCGGAGTATTAAGGTAAGTTGCATAACTTTGAACACCTTTTCTTCCAGGGATTTAAACCACTTGGTTTTAACTAGACAAGTTTTTAATGAATGAGAAAAATCGAGAGAAGCATACCTTGCTTAAAGTGAAATGCACGACATCTTAATTACCATATTCTGCATTTCTCTAAACCAATTTTCAAATTTTTCGAACCAATAATATCGAAAAAATTAAACGTTCATAAAAAGAAAAAGAAGGAAAGAAATCTGTGTATAAATTTTAGTAATGCACAGTTAAAATGAACGCAGGTTTTCACTGGATTAAGCAAATTACCTTTATTTTGATTAATCATTTCACTAAAACCGGAATAATTTGCACTTTTCGTCAAGACTTTCATCGCGTGGATTTTTGGGAAAACTCTTTACTTTCAGTCATGTATTTCACAGTTTATTTTTAACTTTAGAAAAATATATCGTATTTAGAATGTGTTAATTAATTCAGTCGCCATGTTTAAATTCTGAATTACCAAGTTTTAAATTTCGACAGGGGAATAAGTTCTAATTTTCAATTTTTAACAGATTTTCATTGCATATCTGATTTGCTTACAGAAGGGAAAAAAGTCTTGAAAAACTTGCAAGTACATTGATTGATTTGATACACGACTAACATTTTGAAGAAATTAACAAAGGAATTTAACTGGTTTTGCATTTATTAATAATGGTCAAGAAATCTTGCTCTTATTTATTTATTTATTTATTTACTTTTGGAAGCATAAAACTCATTTATTAAGGATCTCTTACCACATCCTACATTTTACACGTTAAATCGAATAATTTCAATTTTGAGCCACTCAGCAGAAAAACTGCGTTGAATACATTTACCCAGGAACATTATCACACGTGTCTACAATAAAACTTAAGTATCCTCGTTTGACATGAGAAGTGTCGTGTCAGCTGTCATTTGAGTACTGTGTAAAAAAAAAAAAAAAGAGTTCCATACGGCTGAAGAGCAGTCCATTTTTACACGTGATGTCTATTTACGAGGCTAGAATTATTGAGAAATTTCTGTAGAATCTTGGAAAATTCTTGGAATTTTAGAAACCAATGCCCTCGCAACACTATCTAACTGATCCATTCGACAGTATATTACTCTGCTTATTCGTGGTCCGTAGTTAAAAAAAAAAAAGGCTTTTGCAATCAATCAATCAGATTAATAGGGAAAAGGATATTTTTTTTCATCAAGTGGATTTGCTGACTTTTTTATTGGTCCGTATTTGTGATTGTTAGATGGAGTACTCTAACCTTTTCTGAAAGCAATTTTAAACACGTGAAGTCAAATTTGAGTAACCCGGTCATGTTTCAAGTTTTTGATATGTAGAGGAAAGAAGACGGCGGTGTAATCTGTTGTTTATTCCTGCCTTGGTACCTTGTTGAACAACGTAATGTCCAGACTGAAGGCTAATGTGCCACTTTCTCTGATAATTGTTTAAGATAAAACAATATGTCAACTCCTCGTGTGTACAAGGGCTTTATTTTGTAAACTAACCGATTTTGTCAATTATTACTAGTATGTTTAGATAACTTATACCAGTAGTAAACAAGTTTTGTTATCAAGTCCAGTACTTCAAAGCTCTATAACATCCGACATCTTTATTATGTTGTAAATTTTGAATAACTGGGTGGAATATAAATACAAAATTTACAACAAGATTACATGTATTTATCTCCAATAAGTAAATTCAAAATTTCAATAAATTATAGTTCTCTTTCAGTCTAACATCTCCAAAAATTGTGACTGCATTTAAGTACGGGTGACTCTCGGTATGACCAATTCTCGTGGCGAAACGTCCTTGTTTTGTTTCCATAATTACAGAAATTATTATTACTCCAATCTACACGCATTATCCTGCATGATTAACGTCATGATTGTTAATATGGTCAATGATTTGTCGTGCTGGATCAAAATTAGCAATGAATATTATAAAATAGCACTTTGTTCATTTTGCTTCAACGCATGGAAGGGTATTCTTATTCAAATGATCTTATTCTACAGTTGGTAAGGTAATGTAAGATTAGTTTCATTTAACTAATGCGAAGACAATTTTAAAACGAGAATATGTAATTAACGAGAATATGTAATTGAAGACGTCTTTTCAATTCAGAATGATTTTTATTATCACAACAATAAAAAAACCCGGATTTGACTATGCTGAGATTGGTCCTGTGGGTGTGAGTTGCATGTAAGTGAATACCGTGTGATGCTGACAAACATATTTATCCCCAATCACATGCATTTTAGACTAATAATTTTCACTCTATATATTATACATATGTGTGTGTGTGTGTGTGTGTGTGGACATATTCAGCATGTATGAGCCTATATAGAATTTTAAAACGAGAGGCATTTAAACCCTTACAGTGTTCCGTATTTCCGATTTCACAACCATGTACTTCCGCGATCACCAAGCCCGTATATTACAACACAATAACTACGGTTTTGATAAGGAGAAAATATGCTACAGATGTGTAATTGAGACCCGTCAATAGGCGTGTGTATCAATTCTGAGTTGCCGGTATTAAGTTTTTTCCTATTGTACTGTTGGTTACCACTTCATCCGTCTGTGTCCAGTTTTCCCTTACCCGTTTTTCTAGACTTTTAAGGAGAGTGTAATGGTTGAATAAGTAAGTATACAGCGACATCTTTATAGATTCTTATGTATAAATAAGTAAATACCTACATGCTTTTATTCTATTTTTAGCGCTTCTTCACTGTGCTCTTTCTACCATTCTGTGCAATCTTCCGTCCCTGTGAATGCAAATTGTTAAATAAACATATACACATGTCACAACGTTTACATGTGATTCTCTAATCCTTTTAATGACAAAATTAAGTCGAGATTCTGTTGGAGACAGATACTGAAATATTGTAGCAATTTTAAACTGAAGCTAGCAATGATTAAACATGAACAGCTCTTTCAGTCTCCATACATATGATTCTATGCATGTTCATTACATAGGGCACGGCAATACTACGAGGTCCACTTAGACACAGGTTCTATGATTTCCGTCTTAAAATGGGAATTAGTCAAGTTGTTCGTTTAAAAACGAAAAGTAGAGAAAGAACCAAAGAATGTGTAAGGATGTACATTCTGTTGATATTGAGAAAGATTTCGATTTAAATCTTCCGGGAATGCTTGGGTTATAGTTGAAATCTTAATATCTGATCAAGGGCATACATGTATGATGTTATGAGAGACTTGTGTTTCAGTTGAAATCTCGATATCTGATGAAGAAATGCGATACAAGGTTAAAGTTGAAATCTCGTTCAATTGATTAAGAGTGTGATTTTGTGTTGTCTGCAGTTTTATTGCTTGTTCCCTTCTTGTAATGGAATTTTTAAACGTTATCATTTGCAAGAGAGCGACATAGATAATAGAGACTGTTTCAGCTACCGTCCTCGGTTGTTTATGATCCAACCTTCTCACAATAATTATGCAGAGATAGAGTTCTGTTAAATAATTTAAACCTTTAAAATAAATAATCCTGTCATTTCTTTTTATCCACCAAAATCAAATTAATATATTTCTCCCCGGCGATTGACCTTCAGTGTGTTTTTTTTCAGCATGTCAAGGTCACATTCGCAGCATCTTCCTGCTTTGTTCTTGCAAAAACATAAGAAATGAATTGTTGACAGGAGCAATTACCATGTCAAATTGGCTTGTTTTTGCCAAATTTAAAAGCATCACTAGAAAAAAGAATGTTTTCCTCATTTTCCACAGGTTTTTTTTTTTTTTTTTTTTTTTTATATTTTTTTATATTTTTTTATATTTTTTACACTATGGAAGTGCGAATTGTTTAAGACGGCTCAATGCTAAATTGTACGGAATTTCAAAAGCCTATTAAGAGCTAGTTAAGGGCCTGTCCTTGAGTGCACATAAGTCGATGTCCTGTGTGAGCGTCCATGATCACAAAAAATACCTCTGGTCACATGCTAAGCATGGTCATATTCTCTATGTAGTAAGATAGAAAAAAAAAGATTGTGGACACAATGAGAATTGCAATAATCTTTATAAATTCCAAATTTCGTAAGTACACGTGTAGAGAGTTATACAATAATTGTTACAGTCAAGCAATTTGTAATAATTGTCTTTAAAAGCATTTTCTAGTAAATTGTAATGATGTTAATAGCGTATGCACACGATGTTAGAACAAAACCCATCATTTATCACAGTGTATCTGAACGAGAAATCTGCTAAACTTTACTCAAGATCTTTCAGCAATGCAATGCCAAATGATTAAACTTTTTTTTATTATCAAAACGAATTTTAAGCGTCATTGAAACGTTTTATACATGACGAATGCTGAGAGTGTCAGAGTGTTTCTAAAATATTAAAAAAATATGCTGATGTGGAGAGGAAAAAAATAACATCGCTGAGTGAAAAAAGTGCACAAAACAGCAGGAAACTTTCCCCCATTGCTACTGCTAGTTTGATATGAAGAAGATATTTATTTTATGGCAGGGCTGGTTGGGAAGTCACTAGAGTTCATACTTTTTTACCACACTTATTATGTTAATACCTATTTGCAGCCCGTAAGCGGATATTTGTCAATGCTCTTTTATGTTCATCTTCCTGACGTAAATCAACTTCGGCCGCGGGTCAGTTACGCGGCGATTTGTAAAAGCTTCGGACACGCCACTGCAGGAGACCAATAGTCTGTATGCTCCAATTAAAACGACAACATTGATAAACAAATAAAAATGGATTGATGACTTGGAATTTCGTTATCTTTTAGTTCCTGTATTTGCTCTCTGGATTGATAAGAATGTATTGAAGACAAGGAAATTTAAAAATAGCTTTTGTGAAGTTCACACTTAGGTATTAAGTCTGTAGGTAATATACATGTATCTTATCTTTTTGTTTATTATGCCAAGATCTTTCTGGTGTGGGTTGTCACAGCTAGTTAAAGATATAGAAAGAAACATCACTTTCTTAGTTTAAACACGAATAGAAAGTAAATGACATCTGAACTCTTCTACATCTATTGTACACTTTTATTACAACGGAAAGACAAACCTGGCGTTTTTTCTTAACCTTGAGTTGACCATCACGTTTCTTTTGACCACGTTTTTGTTTCAGTTTGAAAAATGGGAAAATCATAAAACCACATAAATAATGCTAAAGTAAATATACAGAAATGTGTTTTGTGACCTCCACCACGACACATCATAAAGAAGTATTTATTCATATTGTTTTTTGGCATTAGTAAGGTGATATTAATCACCGAATTAACGGACAAATAGCTGTTTTACCTGCTCTTAACAAGGGTCATTCTCTGAGGTGAAGATATGTCTGCTCGTTTATCAATCAGAATACAAATTTAATATTGTAATAAAAAATGAATTTTCAAAGGACTCAAAGTTTTAAAAAAAATTGGACACTAATTTGAAAGTAAACATATGAAACCAAAAAGGTTAATTTAAATCTAGGGTCTTAAAAGTTCAAAAAGACATTCAGTAAAGATTTCTAGAGAGATCGGGAGCATTTTTTCGTGTGACTGACCTATCCATTTAAATATACCAAAATGATTTGAAACCGAAAGGTACTAAGTTAATTTCTAGTAGACCAAAAAAAAAAAAATCTAAAGATAAGTAATTGAGGATCAAGAATTTTTTAACAGTCTAGCGTTTCCACGATACTAGTATATCAATAAGTTATTACCGATGTATTCATTCATTACGTGATTGGACCAGACATGATTGTAATTTAATATCTCGAATTTTTTTTTGTCTTTTCAGACTAACAATGGCGACGGGTCCCCCTAACTACAAAATTATTTTATGTGGCGAGTACGGTGTGGGGAAAAGCTCCATCTTCAGGCGGTTTATGAATGATACATTCACACTGGAAACCGGCAAAAAATCAACAATAGGACTGGACCAAAGTTCTAGGGGCTTTAACATTAGTGGAACAGATGTCAAGGTAAACTGCGTGATTTAATACGTACAAATGTGCTATCAAAATCTGGCATGCCTGCAGATCTGTAAAGAATGTGGACGGATTTCAATCTTGCTGCCTTTAAAATCCAGCACCCGTAAACATTTACTCAGTCAGCTCGATCCTACTCTATGAAAAAAAAAAATACATCAACTAGAGTTGGCTCTTTAGTAGGCTTAATTTATACATGTTTATTAGGAAAGGAAAAAAATGCGACAGACCAGGGAACCCGGGCCCCCTGAATCTCCAGTCGGGTGCTCTTCAAACTGAGACCTGGATTCGAACATGGTCTGGTCTTGTCCGTCGCAATTTTCTCTTTCCCTGTAACACATGTATCTGTTTGCTAAATCATTTTTTGGGGGGTGAATGTTAGAACGACCATATTCCCTAGATCAAAGTCAGATTAAAAAACTTTAAATCCCATTTCAACCTATTAAATAAAAACACATGTTTAGGAATATTGCATGAGGTGTCGTTTTTCATGAGGATATCCGAGGTTCGAGGCAGTGATATCGTGTTGCATCTGTAAACAAATATGCCACTATCCGGAAAATGGAATTTCCTCCTCCATTCTCTCTTGTTTCAGGAAAGAAATGCAATGCAAAATCTTTTTGTGTTCATACATTCGTGATCTTTTAAGGAAGTTATAACAAACACAGCATCCTCTTTTTATATAGTGCGAAACGGCTTTAAACGGGGTATTATTACAGGTACATGTAGGACGTGGGTTTCCTATTTAGTACATGTATCTTTGTGACGTCAATAAAGTGATCTGTGTTATTGTTCATTGTAAATTTTATTGCAGCTTCTGGTTACTTGATCGATTTTTGACGCAAGATTTCTAAAATTTAAGAGTAAATGTGTTAAATGAATTTGCATATCAAAAACATAAAAAACGTCTATAAGAAAACGTGTATTAAATAAGGACTCACAATCGTTGTGTCTAAGAAAAAAGATGAACGCTTTTTTCCCTCTGTATTATCTGTTAGAATCAAATTTACTTGGAGCAACTTAGGATTAATAGAGATAGAATCTTGTATCTTTGTTAAGATTTGGGAACTCAATTAGAAGTTTTTGATTTGGGAACTCAAGTCTTCCTCACATCACCAAAGAATGGAGGTCAGGTCAAAGATGTTTTTTTTTTTTTTTTTTTTTTTTTTTTACAAATGTCAAGAACCTTAATTACGTTATCTAGTGATGGAATAACTGACATACTTTAGTAGCTGATGTTCAAGGTCAATTTAATTCAAGTACATTTCTGATGCTTTAGTTGAGGTGTTTTTGAAAAGCAAATTTAAATAAAATGAACTTTTTTGGTCTCCGTTTTTGTTTTGTTTTTTTTTTGTTTGGGTGTTTGATTTTTATTTTTTTATTTACATGTATTTATTTATTTATGTTTTGCCTTGCGACGAAAAAGTACTTTGCAAAATGCACCTATATGTGAACGATTACAGTATTCTTTCAATTAAGAATGGAAATTTGAAATGTTATTAATATAGAAAAAAATAAAGTAGAATATTATCATTAAAAAAGTTTATATACCGTGTGGTTTATGCAGTAGTGTTAATTGGTCAATGACCGCTTCATCTTGATATACAAAGTGAAAACATTCTATTTAAACCGAAACAGAGGCTCCATTGATATTTGGTAATCAACCTTATGAAATACTTTCTAAAGGATTTTGATTGAGTTCCATGTTCATATCCAAAGATTTTGTATACTCTTGTGTTCATGATCTGGAAAAATAAAATCAGTCTCGCAGTAATTTAACGTTTAAGATATATCAGAATGCTTTGCAAAATTCATGTACATTGTACTTTATTTATAAAGATTAAATCACCCATGATATAGATATGTAGAGACTAACATATTAAAACATTATTCGACAGATGTCAATACACACTTTTGAATGTGTTTGAAATGAGTTTAAAAAAGAAGGTATTTTGAGGATTGGAAAGGGTGAAAAGAAAATTAATTAAGTAATTTGTATTCCTAATGCTTTGCTTTCAAGAAAAAAAGGGAAACAGATGCAATGCCAAGTTCCACCATATGGTTTCCGTGAAGAAAAAATGAAGATTGGCATGCTTAAGATAAATATAGACTTACTGACCAGTAAATACAACCACAGTTCCTGACAAGTTATTTATTGGGATATGCCAATTGTATTTTTTACTAATTTTCTCTCAAAAAAGAAATATTTCAGATGTGTCCAGTTGAGATTGATCTACAAACATCTGTCGTGTCTGACAGATTAAAAAAAAAATTTGCCCCCCCCCCAAAAAAAAAAAAAAAATCAATGTTATTCAAAATATGTTTGTAAAATCAAATATATATGTTATGACATAATATTCATTACATTTACTTTAAATTGGCATGGAGGTGGTTTTTGAAGAGAAATTCATCTTTATCATTTTCAGTTAACTCTGTGGGACACGGGTGGAATGGAAAGAATGAGTTTCATTGGTTCCAGCTATTATCGAGGTGCGCACGCAGCCTTATTGTGTTATAGTATTAAAAACAAAGACACCTTCACAATTCTCTCACAATATATCTTGGACATAGTCATGAATGCCGAAGGAGCCAAAATTTTCCTCTGCGGCAACATGGCGGACTGTGATGGCGAGGACCAAGTGACTGACGCTGATATTGAAAACTTCGAACGCGAGTGTGGTGACGTTTTATCCGGAATGTACAAAATATCTTGTAAAGACAACTCGGGGGTGTTCGATATGTTCAAGGACATGGCCAGAGTTCTTCATCAGGAGGCTTTGGGGAAAATGACCTTAAGACGAGAGTTGAATGTGATCCGCCCCGGGGAATCGCCGGAAAATGAGGAATCACAAAAGAAAAAGTGTTGTTGAATAATTGTTTGATACATGTTCATGTAAAATCAATGTAACTTTAAGTTGATCAGTCATATATGTGTACATTACTTTGGAAGGTAATATTGTTTTGTTTTGTGAAAATCGAATTTTTACATGGATTGAAAACGTTTATTTGTTTCAAATTTTCAATGCATGTGTAGGTGTCCTTAGTTGTGCAACTATTGATGTATTTATCCTGTACCTGATTATTCCTGCATACTTATATCATTTACATGATATATATCTGCCACAAAGTGAAGTACCTGTTTACATCATTTCCATTTTGTCATGATTTGCATGTTTTCATAAATTTCTTGCAAATTAAGCACAGATCAGCATCTATAATTGTATTAAAGCTGATATTACATCTTACTGAACATTAGGTTTAAGTATAACCCTATAATAATAGCTTCTGACAGTTATATGAACTTGCACCGGATATATTTCGGTAAATCGTACATGTATATTGAAATTAAGGAGATGCTGTAGGAATTGTTTTATATTTTTGTTTGAATTTTAAATGTTTTCATGCACTAAAGGTTCTACCTTGAATAACAGATTTTCATATAAAAATCTACATACATAATGTATTATTATTATTATATATATCTATTATATTTCAAACTGTTCTTTACCATAACTTTCACTTTTAAAATGAAAGTGCCTTTTATTTTGTTTTTATAACTTATAATATACTCATGCATTTTTATGTCTTCCTCTCTCCAGTATTATTTGTAAACAAGTGTTATAATTATTTTCATAAGTCTAAGTAACACTCTATTGATGTATATTTACAGTGGATATATCCTTGGATATACCTGTTGTTGTAAAATATTGTTCTGAAGTGGGTAAATAAATAGATCGGAAAGACACTGATGCATGGGTTTTGCTTCGATTGATACCGTATAAACACAGGTCGCAATAGGTGCTGGCACGAAGATGATCCATCACTGCTCAGTGACCATAAGTGCCAAGAACAGATCTTAATTTGCGGCCTTCAACAGTTTTTGCCCCCACCCCCTCCCCAATTATAAAAGAGGGTATAATACAAACAAACCACCAAACAACATTTGCTTATAAAATAATTGCTTGTTTGAAGTACACGTGCATTGATCGACTTTTACAATTACTGAAGAAAATACTTGCGTATCAAATTGATTATTGACCAACAATTTCGTTGAAGAACACTGAATTGACAACTCGAACCAGGTATATCAGGAAATCAATCCATATTCAGATCATCTTTTTAAAGAGTTCAAAAACCCAAAATCTGAAGGTGTACGTACGAACTCTCAATCGAGCAAGACCAAAACTGTAGCTGCAAATCTAACTGTAAACTGTATATGTATAAATATATTTTTAAAAAGGGCTTTGAGGAGCATAAATTCAGTTATTTACTTTCTTTTTTTGAATGTTAAAGAGGCATGGTGTCTCCAATCCTTTTCCAACCGAAATGCCCTTAACTTTCTGTATCTAATTCAACACCACGTTTCTTGTGCCTTTTCACCCTTCAGCTAATACAATTTCTCGCCGAAAAAAGAAGAACCAAACAGCAATATACTCATGATCATAAACCACAAACAGCTTCTCAAAAATGTTAGCTCCACATCAAGCCATTTAACCATTGTAGCTTTCGAATTAAACCCGCTTTCCAAGCCTATTTATAAATCGTATCGTCATAATATACGATGGGTAGTTAGAGCGATATTTATATAGGACTGTCCGTCTCAAGAATTAAATAAGAAGTTTAAAAGCATCAATTGGAAATGAAGTGGGTTGGTACATGATCAAACTTTTAGGCTTCACAGGATCAATTTGATCACTCCACCAATCCACGTTTCCCAGTGAAGTTTTTAGAAACTAGTTACTTATTGCTTAATTGAAATCAGAAAAGGCACCTACATGTATATATTTTATTAAAATCAGATAGAGACGTAAGAGGTGCAGCATTGTAATTGGTTGTTTCAGATAAAAAAAAACAAATAGACGGACTCTTAAACAAGCAGATACATTAAAAAATTTTGAGCTTTTCTCTTGAGTGACTGTTAAACATTGTTCATTTAAATCAGTGAGCAATGCGCAGAGGTAGTGACCAAGGTAACCCTTTCATTAAATTCATGAACCGATTAGAGAATTTTGTATGTTGGTTTTTGCCATCTGTGTATCTAGTTCTATTGAAGTCGGATCAAAACTGTTAAAAGTAATAGAACTATTTTGAATGAATTTGAACACAATTTTTGAGAGAAATCTCTATCGTTAGAAATCATGGCAAAACAATAACAAAATCATAAACAGAATTATGTGTTTTGGTGAAGACGTGTTGTGGGCCAAGTTTGATTGAAATCGGACGAAAATTGTAGCAGGAATAGTATTTTGAAAGAATTCCATTAAATCTTTTTGAGAACTTTGTCAACCATTAATTGAAATCAAAAGCCGATGCATAGAATTGTGTATCTGGTGTAATGTAGTTGTATGCCAATTTTTATTGAAATCGGACGAAAACTTTGGGAGGAATATCGTTTTAAAAGAATTTCATTTTTAGGTAATCACTTCAACACCGTTCATCAAAATAAAAAAAAATATATAAAAAAAGAATTATGTGTTTGATGTAATCTTTTTGTGTACCAAATAAGTTGTACTGAAAATGGACCAAAACTATTGGAAGAGGTTTTGAAAAAAATGCTTACAGACAGACAAACGAACGAACAGACAAATGATGGACAGCTTACCACCATATAGGCTCTTTTGGTCCTCGACCAGTTAAAATTACAGACGAACCAACTTTAAACAAATTTACAAAAGGGATAGTTGGGTGGAAGATTAACACACTTCAAAATCAAAGTGCTGACTTCAAGGATTAGAAAACGAGAGCGATGCTTGATTACCATACAATGTTTTGGAACGACTATCAATGATTGTCGGGGTTTTTTCGCATCAGAATATATTTAGGACCATTTTGGGGACAATGGACTACCATCAATGTAATGCATATAAATATTGAGGGTTTATTTCTTCTAGTGAATGGTAGTTTCAGATTGTGTCAATGTTTTTAGGAAGTTTTCTTAAAGTAAATTTCATCAGGATCTGTTTAGAATAAGAATAATAGTAATGCCAACATAAGAGAAAGCGAATACGTTAAATTTAATATAAAAACACGATATTTATTGTCATGTAATTTGCTGCATGGTTGCAAAATTTAAAAGCTTATCTTTAAAACATCAAACTTACAAAAGGAGATGCAAATGAAAAATCTAATCGACAAACAATTAATTTATGACTGGAAAATTAACTGATTAATATATTTTCTCTTACTTTTTGATTTTTTTTATTTACAAGGTTTACCAAACGAAAAAATATGAAAGCCAGATAGGCTCATTTTTTTTACAAGATAAAAAAATTAACTCGTTATAACGAGATAATTATTATTCTCCTTTTAACGAGTTAGTATCTCGCTATAGCGAGATAAAAATCTCATTATAACAAGATGACTAACTCGTTATAACGAGATAATTAGCTCATTATTATGAGATATTACTCGTTATTATGAGATACTAACTCGTTTTAACGAGATAATTATCGTGTTATAACGAGTTATTTTTTTTATATGGTCAAAAAAGAGAACTACCTTTCAAAAAACACATTTACATAAATAATTCAGTTATCGAGTGTTTCCTAACCTTTGACCAGGAAGGCTTGGCAAAGATGCGGTAAATTTTTATTTATAGACTACGATACTTTTTACCTGAAAAAAAATAATATATCTGCTTACAAGGACATAGCTTTTCTGATACAAGAACCATTGAAGCTGTGGAAATCTTGTCCAGAAACCACTCCATCATGAGTTGTGCATGATTCACAGTGCTATGATAAGATTAAGTTAAAACATATTGGTATTGTTAAATAATTTCGAAGAGAAGCATATATTATAACGATTGTAACCCGTCTTTTTTATAACGTTCAAAGAGTGAAAGTTACGTAATAAGCTTTCCAGATTATGATGTTTTTTTCTCTCTCCATATCGAATTTTGATAAGAAGGCAGTAAAATAGGTTCATTTATATTTATATCAATTCCAAACACTGTCTTGTCCATATTTTTCTGTAGATTGGGCTATCCCTTTAAATAAATTTTAGTGCATATAATGTCTGCACAATCTCGGTCAACATAACTAGGTACAAAGATTATCAGTATGGGAGCTAAGAGTCTTTTCTTATCAGCCAACAAAAAAGATCGTCTTTTTACCATTCATAAAATTTGAGACCTTGGATTTTTCTTGCACTTACGTCAATCAATGGATTACTGGCCTAAAAAGAGCACCCTTGTAAAAGGTGTCGTTGGTCATGTGACAAATCTTCTATTTCCCACAAATACATAATACTGATATCTAGTTATGATAGTAGTTGTTAATATGTGAGGAAAAACTGACATCATTCTTGTAGTATCATGTTTCTGTGACAGTTTGCATTTCATTGTAAGGACATGCTAGTGGAAGGGACTTCCCTGTACTATATACGTAAATTTTTCATACCAAAAACACTATAGTATCTAAAAGTATATTTTTTTTTTAAAATATAGGTGATAGTTGCAGTTGGTATAAAAACAGATAATATGGAATATATGAATTAAAGCATCTACCTATATATGAACTGTATTAGAAGGTATAAGCTTTTCACGGCAAAAAAGAGTTTTGCTGAAAAATTTAAAGATTTAGTTTAATCCATTTGGATAACGTTTTAATTAATGAGTGAGTATGGATATATTACCCCTGATTTGAGAAGACGAATGACAATGACTTGGTTTTCTAGATCATGACAATTGTAACTCGTTCTGTTTTTACTACAAACAGAGATAAAATATTTGAATAATTTTTGATCGCATATTTAGTTTTAATGGTCACAGACGAGAAGACCTTATGCCTTATTAAGGTGTTTGTCGTCCGTCCGTTTGTCCTTCTGTCTGTTATTAATTTTGCAAAAGGGTACTCCTACAGTTTTGGTCTGATTAGGATAAGGCTTGGTATATAAGTAGACTATACTAAGATATATAATTCTAAGTAATTGTCTTTGATTTCGACAAATGGTGTTGCCATGGTTATTAAAAAGAAATTTCTTTGAAATTCTTTCCAAGCATTACTTTTCCTACAGTTTTGGTCTGATATGTGTAAGACGTACACAAGTAGACTATACTAAGATACATAATTTTAATAATCTGTTATTTTGATTTAGTTCGAATTTCAATACGACTTACTAAGTAAGACTTTACTAGGATACATGATTTTGTAAATGGGCTTTTGATTTTCGACAAGCAATGTTGCAATGGTCATAAAAATAGAAATTTCTGTGAATTCCTTTCAAAACGCTACTTTTCTTACAGTTTTTGTTCGATTTCAATAAGACTTGATACACAAGTAGGCTACACTAAGATTCATAATTCTGTTTATCAGTTTTTGATTATGAAAACGGTGTTTCCATGGTTCTCAAAATAGAAATATCTGTGCAATTCCTCATCCTACAGTTTAAACCAATTTCAGAAAGACTTGGTACACAAGAAGAATATCCTTACTAGATAACTAGTTCTATTTATTTGTTTTTGATTTAAACAATCGATGTTGCCATGTGTCAACATAAATAGAAATTTCTGTGAAATGCTTTCAAAACATTACTCCACCTACAGCTTCGGTTAGATTTCAATAAAACTTGGTAGACTCTACTAAGATACATCTTTATTTATTGTAAGTACACACCAGTAGAGCTACAGTCTCGACAGTGACTTCTGATTTTATCTTTCTCCACCAAATCCTGGTAAGAAGGCAACAATGTTCACATCAATTCCTGTCAATGTTTCCTCTATATTTTTTTCTGTGTAGGTTGCATTATCC